GGTTGAGCTGCTCGAGGTCCCATAGTTAGTGTCAGCCGTAGTTGGGAGCAGGGCTCACCACATCAGCCAATGCCCAGGCTAAATTGTGAAATATCAGTGTGTTGAGGTCAGCTCCTCAGTGTGTCACCTCTGTTGGGGCAGGGGGCTGCCACTGTTATATGTGCTGTTGCTGGAACTGTGGAGTCACCAACAGTCAGAGACAATGTTAGCGAGCCTGCAGAGGCTTGGGAAAGTGGCCAGGGGCTGCCTGACGAGAAATGACGGCCACGGCTCGGCCTCTGGCCCCAGCATGGGCTGTGGCCATATAGTCGTCCCACGTGCCGAGCAACACCAGTGAGTTGTTGGATTGGTCCCCGGGCATTTTTCACCAAAAAGCATCTGCTCGGCCCCATCATTTGGATCTAACTAATTATAATGAGACCACACTGTTCCTCTGCCTGTAACCTTCCGGTGGCCTCCGTCTGCCTTCCAAATCCAAGTCACTCACACTGGCTTGCATGGCCCTAACGGGCCCGCCTTCCGGTGGCCTCCGTCTGCCTTCCAAATCCAAGTCACTCACACTGGCTTGCATGGCCCTGTCTGACGGGCCCATTCACCTTTCTGACCTCCTCCTGTTGTGTCTTCCCCCTCTGTCCCTGCATTCCAGCCCCACCGTGGCCTTGCCACACGCCACCATGTCTTGGGACTTGCGTCTTCAGTGTTCTCTGCAGGGATGCTTTGTTTCCCAGGGCTTGCACGAACAGCTCCTTGTTCTTTAGCCCTCAGCTGACGTGTCACTTCATGGAGAGCCTCTGACCTCCAGCCTGACAGCAGCCCTCAGTCTCACTTCGCTGCCCGGCTCTGTTTCTCTGGTTAACGTGTCCATGTCTTTGTTTCTTGCGTGTTTCGACCACTGGAACATGATGACTCTGAGAGGAAGGACCCGTTGTCCCCTGGCTGCTAGCCCCAGCTCCAGCCCGAAGCCTGGCCCAGTGTAGGTGCTGCATACAGTTACCCTGTGGCGAGTGAGCAGCGGATGCTGAGAGCTGAGCTGTGGCCTGGGAGGAGGCCCCGCTCCGGACAGACAGGGCCCCGGTGCCCGCTGCTGCCTAGTGTTCTCGCCTCCCGCTCCACGTCCTCAGCGGGCATTGGGGTGGGGAGGTCCTCACATGTCTCTGTCCTCAGCCTCTTTGAGACAATTTTACTTCTTATCTAGAGCCTTTGGTATTTGTCTCTTTTTAGAACAACTAAATAGGTTATTTTGAAGTCATAGAAATAGGTAGGCTCTGAAAATGCAAAGCTGTGGGTAGAAATTTTACTTCAGAAAGTTAACAATGAAATCCCAATTTGGGAGATAGAGTGAGGGTGAAAAAGCCCCAGACTCAGGCTTGGGAACCTGCTTCGGGTCCTGTCTCAGCCACTTCCTAGCTCTGGGACATGGCAAGTGACTTTGTCCTTGGGAAAAGGGAGCATAGGGCTGCGTGACCTCAGGAGCCGTCTTTGTCCTGCTGTGTGCTCAAAAGCCATCGCTTTAGGAAAGGTGCCTGCAGTTCCACAAGTTTGAACAATCCTATTTCCAGTTTTCTTTAAGTACCAGATGACCCAGTCCGTAGTAAGTCCTGTTACTTTTTCTGTGACCCGCTCTGGGAAAGGTGACAGTAGATGCCAGGCTAATGGGAGTGGTGTGATGACAGCCTGGGGAAGGGACCACCTGAAATACGACGCTGGGAAGTGGAAGACCAGAAAGGCCACAGGGAGACAGTTTAAACATCAACTAGGTTACACAGCAGTTAAACTAGAAACCGTTACGTGTGCCTCCTTAGGTGGTTATTTTTTTATGATTGACTTGAATTTCAAAGACTGGTTGTCAGGGATCAGTTCAACATTCATCTCACCTGCCTCATCCCTGACGACAAGCCCCTGTTTTCCTGAGAATTTGTCGTTAGTGTGCATTTTATTGCTCAATTTCTAGAGCTTCTAAAATGAGGCTGAAATGTTAGAACGTGTTTTAAGTCCCCAGCACAGTTTCTAGAACATAATTTGAACCTAGTTCCTTGACTTCATTAATCAACAATATAAAAGCCACAAAGAACGCTTTTCCTGGCATGTCACATTTTATCACTAACAGCAACTCTGTTCTTAATATATATGTGTCATTTCAGACGTGGGTTGTGCTGTCTAAGCCCTGTGACTTCTCTGTCTTTCTAGGCCCACACATACATTGTAGTAATTCCAAGGTGGTTATCAAGATCCACCTGCAAGTGTAGGATGGTGAAGGTCTAGCTTGTGGGCGTCAGGAGCAGGGTGTGGCCGTGCCCTGCTCCGCAGCCCTGGGCGGCATAGAAACAAGAACCCAGCAGTGTCATCTGTGTCTGACAGGGCACACCACAGTCTTGGGGTGGGGAGGACACCGGGGCCTGGCTGTCTTATTCCCTGCTCAGGATCTAGAGAAGAAAATCCGAGGGAAGCCCTCAGCCACGTGTGCCCAGGTAGTGGCAGGCCCCACGTGTGTGCAGGCTCAGCCCAGCCCACGGCGCCAGGTGCCAGCGGACCTCTGCACTCCCTGTCGCAGGGGAGTGGCCTCGGCGGTGGTTAACCACAGTCCTGTGTTCTAGGGCAAAGCAGCAAGTTTGTAGTTTGATGGTCCCTGGATACATCCTAGATTCCCTTTAGGGCAGATAAAAGGAGAATCAGTGAAATGGTGCATTGCGATGACGTTTCACATACTCTCTTCTAGTCCTGTGTTCTAGGGCAAAGCAGCAAGTTTGTAGTTTGATGGTCCCTGGATACATCCTAGGTTCCCTTTAGGGCAGATAAAAGGAGAATCAGTGAAATGGTGCATTGCGATGACGTTTCACATACTCTCTTCTTTCAATTTCGATTCGTGGTGCTGGTGAGAAGCCGCTGCTGCGCTCACTGCTGACACGTAGAGCTTTTGTTCATAAAGGTCCACACAGAGGTGTGGTGTTCAAGTGGTCCACATTAGCACCATTTGCTGGCGATCGTCTTCCACTTGCCACCTTGCTTGTATAGGACAGAACGGAGTTATTTTCTAGAACAAATCAGCAGTTAGAAAGGCATAATGTTCCGTTTTCAACCAACAGCTGCAGTAACAGGCCAGATTGTCCTCACTGGTGTTAATTAATTGAGCAGATTTTGGAATGTGTCATCTTTCGTTATATCCATTAATGGTCCTCTGCCTTCCTCATACAGAAAAAGAGGATTTCTTTGAGATCTGGTAGCTCTTAATGCCATATAATTGTACTTGTTAAGTGCTCTAAGGAAATCAGGCAGCTGACACTCCTTGGTTGCAGGGATTCAGATGTAGCACGGAGAGTCCATCTTTGTTTCCTTTTTCCAGATGTGTTATTTTTAAACATAGTTCATGTCCATTATCATCATTGTGACATCCTTTCATAGCAGGAACTTATTGAAGGATGTTGACTGGGTGTGACACGCTGCAGGGTCAGCTGCCACTTCCTCCACCTCCCCTCCCACAGTGGCTCCACCTGTCGGGGCAGAAC